TTTTWARGRSCCAATCATCGAGAGAATCCYACCGAGTTGGTCACTGTTGGTAGTGRCACGGTCGTAGTACAATCGTTCCCGAAAAAATACCGACAATGTGAATTATCAGGCTATATCAGTATATTGCGCGAGCATAGGCAACGTATATTTCTACGGTAAGGCAAACAAACTAAACACCTTCTCCATACTGCCTTATTTAGACCTAAAGCTTTCGACAAAAATATTCGAACATCTAGTTGTGATATTACACCCTCCGGCCCCCTCCCCCTCCCCACTTCGCCCCAAAATTTCTCACCTTCTTGTTTGAAAGCACCCCAACTTTAGATATGGGATTAGGGATTCTTACGAACATTTTGTCGAGAACTTAGTATTCCAGTTAGTTAYTTGCATAGTAGTCCCAGTTAGTTACTTACCTATAGTATCATGGTTTTTGTCGCTGATGTATTGATTCGACTTAGGTGTCACATGACTTCTAAAACATAACAATAAATGCAGCTAATTGCAAAAATCTTTCCTTAAAGAAATAGAACATTTGTATTTTTTAAGTGCAAAATGAATATTATAAATGATATTCTTTTGATCTTTGACTGAATTCCTTTTTACTGAGGTATAAATGTTCTATTTCTCTCTGACAACACTTTTGCAATTAGGTATATATTTTCAATAGAATAATTGATGTAAATTTCGTATCAGTGAAGTACTGTGTTTTACAGATGTGCTAACAGCGGAAATCTGAATCTGGCTGGGTTTAAAGTATATCCTGGGACCGCGATTTTTTTCCCCCTTTTCCTAATTTTCTATTTGAGGAAAATGAATAATAGATTGAATCCTTTTGCAAAACCATTTTTCAGATTGCAAAAAATTTAATAATCAAATAATAGAAGATAAAGGATTATGAACTTATTTGGCTTTGTTTGTTCATTTATTTGCTATCGTATCATATTTATCCATTTCTAACCTTTTTTGTTTTAATGGCTTGTAAGGTCCACAAGATTTAGTTGGGTCTGGAATAACATTCTGCAACAGATAATGATCTCTGAATAAATCTTCATAACATTTATTAGAGTATCTACTTCTACATCTACATCTTCATAGTTCCAGCACTTGGCAACGTTCACTTGGTTACTAGCTGTATATTAGTATGAGGTCTTATTGACTAGTAACCTTTATACGAACACCACGCCAAGTCGACCTCGATGCTGGTGAGATGAGCCCTGTCCACACCACCGGGAACTCCGTGCCCTACTCTTAGTCGAATAGTGGTATGGGTTCTTTAACGTCCCTCTGMTGCYAATGAGAAGTGTAGAGAGACGGGACCTCCGATTTAACGTCGTTATCCGAGAGGACGTGAAGATCTACCATTTGCAGATGGAGAAACCAAGGCAGCAACTTCTACTCAATTATTTTTAGACCCTGAGTATTGGTCCGTCCGATGCTCAACCAACTGAGCCAATCGGTACAAACATTAAATGTGTGCAACACTTTCCACTATTTACTACAAAATAATGTTAATTAAAAAATAGAAAACAATAGAATTAGCATAATTTAGCAGTATTTAGTGGTATTTATGTTGCACAGGTTTAGTGTTTGTACTCTATTAAAAAATATATAATTATACATTCTGAATAGTATAGCAACAATTTTCAGTGTAAAGGCCAATTTAGACGACACAACTTTTCCCTACAACCATCGCATGCAACCTGCGTATAAGTCACCCGTACGTACAACATAGCTACAACTATCATAGGATTTTAAAACAATTGCTTAATAGCCCCAAGACAGTTGTAGTCATGTTCTAAGAATGAATCACGCAGGTTGCATGCGATGCTTGTAGGCAATAGTTGTGTCGTCTAAATCAGCCTTAACCTAGCAAGAAATTACCCACAATACACTTGATATAATTTTCAAAAACTCATACATAATTAATTAGGCCAATAGAGTTATTAGGCCAATAGAATGAGCCTATTTAGTCACATGGATGGATCTTTATATATGATAAAACACTCCTTTATCAAAACACTCAAGATCGCGTTTTCAATTTCAATCAGGTATAAAGATTCTCGCCTTCGGCTCACTCTTTCTCGTGTTTTAAACTATACATATTATGTCAGATTTCAAAATCCTTGCACATGATATCGATCGTATGTAAAATAGCTT